AACGTTGTTAGGAGTCCACTACCAGTTCAAAGTACATAAAGTGCCATACAAATATCAAGTGCAAATTAACAAAATTTCAAACTGCTAATACCAAATTTGCAGGGTCGAAGTATAGTAGGGCTCTACGCGTTTCGTCGGGGAACAGACTTCCTCAGGAGATTCTAACTTCTATTGCCGTCTTCTGCCTTTTTAAATGCCAATCTTCGCGCCTCAAATGATGTCCGCACATGCGCAGACCACTCGGAACGTAACGTCATAGGTCACGACGCACGTCCGTTGGCACTGCGCATGCGCATAAACCATCGTGAGATGCAAACAAACTTTTTATTGACAATATGCGCACAGACAAGTGTCGGCAATCTCGGCACGGAATAAGTACTGTGAGCTCACATGTGCTGCTTAAAACAATACAACATCAAATTTCTAATGACATTGTATGAATTTCAATAAAAAAAAAATATTAAATTAAAAATGTTAATACTAAAAAAGGAGTAAAAATCATCTAAATGTGTGTGGAGGAGAAACCGTTCATACATATAAATATGACATGATATTGATACAAAGAATAGGAAATTCTAACATTACTCTTAATATCAAGCAATTTGAAGGAATTTAAACCGTTGGATGAAAATATACACATGGAGGGAATTTGTCCGGGGTTTCAATTCAAATTTATATCACCAAAATTTTATGAGCGCAGGTGGAAGCCATCTAAGGTACAGCTTGTGCTGCTATGGCTGCTTTATTTGCTCAGTTGAGATATCCAAACTTAAATGAACCAATATAAAACCAATAAAGAAATACTTTATTATAGTTTATATCTTCACTAGAAACCTGAATTTATAAAGTGCAAATCTTTCTAAATATATTGTGATAACTTAGTACAACAAAGGTGTAGTGTGCAAAAACATGTTTAAAATACTATAAGCTCAGATGCTTGTGGAGGGGGTTAACCTTACTTATAAAAAAGATGAAAACAAAATAGTTCACATATAGTGGGAAAAACACCTATATAAAAAAAAAAAAAAGTGGAGCATCTTACCCATTAATAGTGACACAGGCAGGAGAGCAGCATATGCAAAAACAAAATGTAGTGCAAATGGTACAATGACCACCAGTGAGGTATAGCTCAAAAAACTAGGAACACTCACATGAAGCAGTGCCTGGTAAAAATAAGGTTCAATATACACCTAGGTTTGTCTCTGCAGGTAACACACCTTTCATCTTATGAAACACCACACTGAAAAGGGTGAAGGGGAGAAAAATGCCAAGATATTGCAGGTATCTGAACACCAATAAAAACAAACAAGCTAGGTGTGCTCACTTGGGTAAAAGCCAAATCGGTGCTGGATACTGTTAAAATATACTATGGTGGTGTAATAAAATATATAACTATTAATACTCCCATATAAAACAATTGCAGTAGCAGCAAGAATTAACAAAGTGCCAAAACATTTTGCCAACAATCTAGGCTTTCTCAGTCCACTAAAGATCCTTGGTTTACTGTCCCTGTGTTTAAATGGCCGCACCCTCCTTTTCAGCACGTTCACATGCTTTCTATGTTTAATTACAGGAAGATATTGGGCATCCTGCCCTTTCCTCCAACTTCAGTAAGGTCTTTCATCTTCGTTTCAATGCCCTATGGGAAATGGAGTCCGCCGGAGGTGACATCACGATGAGTAATTTCTGGTTTCATCAATCTCTCAGACCAGGTTTATATAGTCTCCATAGTTAGGACCAGCTTAGGCACAATGTTCCATATTGAAGTGGGGCATGATGAAAGTCCAATAGTACAGAGTAAAGGAAAAGGAATTGAGGAGAAACTTTGTAAAACATAAACTAGCAACATAAATGCAAACATACCAATGTATCTATGGGGAAATATGAGATACCTACAAATATATATAGCTCAGTGGGCTAATGCCCCCTCAGTAGAATCTGCTCAACGTACGGGGGCCCATAGGTTCAAATCCTTAAAGTGTTAACTCAGCCATTCATCCCTCCAAAATGAGCACCATCAAATTGGGCATTGGTGACATTCCATGGATGTTGGGCAAAAGCAAAACCCCCAGGACTCACCTGAAAACCAGAGAATGCACCTCTTCTAGCCAAACAGTCCACTATCGCTATATACAGACTATATTCAAATATTTTAAAAATGTACATGATCTGTTTATCTTACATACAATTAATCTCAAAACTACAATAGAATTAAGTTGTCCTCAAAAGATACATAGGTATATAAAGAATAATGTACTTATTTCATTTCCAGTTACATATATTAATAAAATGCATATTTAGAAAATGTGTAAAATGTAATTAAATCTACTGTAACCTAAGTGACCAGGCCATTTTTCAATTTTATTACCGTTAAGGACCAGGGTTCTTTTTACATTTCTGCAGTGGTTGTGTTTAGATGTAATTTGCCTCTTACACATTTACTGTACCCATACATATTATACAGTTTTTCTTGCTATTAAAAGGTCATTCTAAAGATACCATTATTTCCATCATATGATATATAGTTTACTTAAAAAAGGAAGAAACAAAAAACAGCTGGCCATCATGCACCCATGTCCCAGTTGGAACATTTTTAAAGCCAGCCAATGTAATTCACCCCCATCAAACCGTATGTTTTTGAAAAGTAGACACACTAGGGCATTTCACAAGGGGGCATTTCAACACTTTACATGCACTTATTCTACCACCAGTCTGTCAAACGTTTGGGTAGTCATTTTTTTTTTTTGTGGTGTTATTTTTCGCACACATTCTACTTTTAGGCATAGATTCTCAGCTCCTGTTAGGTGTTACTGCCAAAGGACACCCCAATATGTGCTCAAGTACAGCGATACCACCCATGCATAGGTGTGTCGGGTTCTCAAGGGTTTGCCTATCTTCCTTTTGGGAGAAAATGCAGGAACCGCAAACACTCCCAGCGGCCACAGGTGCTCTGAGGCAGGGCCAGCAATCCCAACACGATAAGACAGTAGAACAGAATCACAGGCATTCTAATTGTGTAAGCCGCAGGCAGATTTATGGTCACAAAATGGGAAGCAGCAGCAACGTTTCAACCAAACAGGTCTTTGTCAAGCTAACACCACACAGTGAATAAAATGTGTATATATAGCCACGGTGCTAACAAGGAAATCAATTATCCACTTAATTGAATAACATATGACATTAGTTAGTGCAATTAACAATATACATAGGTATTGTTGTTGAGATACATCAAATTAGTACAAACTCATAACTAAACATCAAACAACAAAATTAGTGCACAGATATGCAATTATACAATTATCATAAAATACACAGTGTGTATATATATGTGTGTATGTGTGTATGTATATATGCATATACATCAGGAAAAGGGCAGAAATTTTTTTTAAAAAAAAATGAATAAAAAGATAAATAAATAAAAGCAGAAAAGACTCACTAGGTGTTCAAATACAGTCTACTTCCGGGTGGCAAAACGCATATTATTTATTTATTTATCTTTTATTTTAACTTTTATTTTATTTTCCTTTTTTTTTATTTTTTTATTCTTTTTGTATTGACAGAATACTGCAAACAATGGTTATCATTTACATTCAGTAGATAACAGCAAGAAAGATGGTAACATTAGGTATATACGTCTTTGTCATATAAAACAGAGGATTATGGTATATAGACATTTGTTGGCATATCTCCTTCGTGGTTTTTTTATATAGGCGGTTCCCAAGGTTCTCTTTAGCTAACTAGTGATATTTATTATTTTACTCTGTCCTTGGAAAATCGTCTGAGCTAACTGTATGAATAGCAGTTTACTGCCTCTGGTGCTTATGGTTCCTGTTTGCCACATATTTTATGTTGGTCAATATCTTGTTTTTATGAAACTTGTAAGCCTGGATAGAAATAGAAAGAAGGAGAGGTTTCAGATAGAGAGAAAGGGGTGGGGGAAGGAGTTCCCTGAATGGGGCATTCACTTCTTCTGTTGGAGCGTGGTTATATATTAACTTCCCAGGTTGGAGTTTTCCCAAGGTTCCTAGATCTTCTGAAAAGTTTTTAAGGTGCCCCTTATCCTAGCTGTTAAGT